TTGTTTATGTTTTCTAAGAACCAACTCTTTTTCTCATTGATCCTTTGCATTGTTTTTTAATTCTCAATTTCATTGATTTTGGCTCTGATCTTATTTATTTCCTTCCTTCTACTGGTTTGGGAATTGGTTTGTTTTTCTTTTTCAAGGGTCTTTAGATGCACCATTAAGTTTTTTATTTGGGATCTTTCCGATTTTCTTACATAGGTATAGATGGTTGTAAACTTTTTTCTTAAAACTGTCTTCAGTCTAAGAGGTTCTGATATGTTATATTATTATTCTCGTTTGATTCTCAGATTTTTTTCAGTTTCTCCCATGATTTGTTAACCCATTCATCAATTGAAAGTGTATTGTTCAATCTTCATGGGTTTATATAGCTTTTATAGGGTTTTTCAGTGTTGATTTATAATTTCATCCCATTATTATCTGATAAGAGGCAAGGATTTATTTATTTATCTATCTTATATTTGCCAAGATTTGCTTTGTGGGCTAACATAATCTATTTGGCAGAAGGTTCCATGAACCACTGGGAAGAAAGTATACTCAATTGTTGTTGGATGAAATATTCTATAGAATATTTCTGTTAAGTCCATTTTTCAGGTCCAACAAGTCTTTATTGAGTTTGTCTAGATGACCTGCCTATTGATGAGAGAGTTGTGTTAAAATCACCCAATATTATTGTATTGAGATGTGTTTGAGGCTTTGAGTAGTGTCTCTTTTATGTAATTAGTTATACCAATGTTAAGTGCACCAATACTTACTATTGTTATATTTTCTTGTTGGATTGTTCCCTTTACCAATGTGAAGTGACCATTTTTGTCTCTTCTGATTAATTTTGGCTTGAAATCTGTTTTGGTAGATGTGAGAATAGCAACTCCTGCTTGTTTTCAGGCTCCATTCTCATACCAATTTCCATCCTCTGACTTTCAGCCTGTATCTGTCTTTGCCTGTGAGTCTCTTGCAAACACACATTGTTGGGTCTTGTTTTTTAATCCATCTTTCCAGTTTTTACTCTATTAGAAAGATTTTCAACTAAATATTTTGACTTGTGTCTTTCAATTCCAAGATTTCTGTTTGAGTCTTTTCAATATCTCTAGCTCCTTATTGAATTTTTCATTCATATCTTCACTATGTCCTTGAGTCATTCAGTTGTTTTTCAGTGTCCTCTTGGAATTCATTGATCATTTTTATAATCATTCTTTTGAATTTCTTTTCTGATATTTTATCCACTTCCGTGTCTTTGGAGTCAGTTGCTGGTGAACTATAAACTTGTTAAGGAGCATTGTGTCACCTTATTTCTTCATATTTCTTGTATTCCTGTTTTTATACATTTGTTTTTATGATGGATTTCTCTTTCCCTCTTATGTGTGGGCCTTTTCAGTCTGTGACCTTTTCTTGCCAATGTGTCTTAGAGTGATGAGATCCCCTTGTAGGTGTGGTATCTACAGCCATTGTGTTATTTTTGCTGTAGAAGTTGATGTCCATGAGAGGGACCTTGAAGACATACCCCTAGTTGTTCCTATTTGGAGTCTGATTGTTAGCTTTTTTGTCTCTTCTATTTGTTGTATTTATTAAAGTATAGCTGAAGTTTGAGCGTTGTTAATTTGTATGGAATAAGGTGTGCTTTCAAATAGGTTTAGTTCAGCAGCAGTGCCTCTACTCTGTGAACCTATAGTGTCCTTGTAGATGCCCAGTACCTTATAGAAAAGGGAAAAACAAACAATGGCAATTGATGCGAACAATATACAGCATTAAAATAAATACCCAGTGCCTAAAATGACATCTAAAATACTAATTAACACAGAAACAGGAATGGCTAGGTCAGTAACCACATCAAAACCAATAAAGAACTGTAAACTAGATCTGGCATTAAAGTAAATAGCAGGGATCACCTGTCATCCACAGCACTAATAACTGCAACAACATAATTGGTGGAGGCAGGTAGCATGCAAACCAAATAGTTCTAAAAGATGGTAAAAATACAGTTCATTAAGAGAAAAGAAAATGTGATAGGAAAGTAGAAGAGTTTAGAATGTTCAAAATGTGAAGAGGGAGAATGCAGAAGAGATATAGGAGGAGAAAAAATAGGAGAAAACAAAGTAAAGGAAGAGAACAAGAGAATTGGGCTGCTTGCTGGAGACAACAGAATCAAAAAACAAAACAAAAACAACACAAAACTCCAAAATAGACAAAGACCCTTACCCTCAAAATACAAGGCAAGGAGAAATAGTGAAAGAGAGGAAGAAAAAAAAAAAAAAAAGGAAGCTATGTGGGAGGCCATCCTCGCATGTGATGAGTTACCTCCCTGGCTGGGTGAGAGGCGCTTAGACATTTTCACACAGCTGTGTTAGAGCTTTCCTCACCCTTTTCCAGGTACGAGGGCTTGTCCATGCAGAGGCATGTCTGGCCACTGACCCAAAATCGTCACCCCTGACCTTGGGATGCTGCCCCCTTAACCTTCATTGGATGGGATTTTCCCCGGAAGTTCTCTCTCTCTCTCTCTCTCTCTCTCTCTCTCTCTCTCTCTCGTCTCTTCTGTAAACCTCTCCATCGCATTAGGTGGCTGGAGGCGGGAGCTAGGAGAAGCTGTCTCAGAGCTGGTATTAAAGGTAATGAGAGTCTTGTCTCTTTAATTTAAAACTCCCTAGCAATTACTTATGAACGGAACCTTCTTTCATGAAGCCAGCGTTAGACACGTGGCAGAAAGCTACAAATGAGATAAAGTGTGTTTATATGTCCATGAACCAATCAGCACAACATCAAATAAGTAATAAGAGATTCTTATGAAAGAATCATCTCCAGAGGTGGTCAAAACTGTTTTTAAGAATCACTGTTGGGTAATGATGTCCATTTCATTCCACCGTCTTTTTAGCCCCCTCCCCCTCCCCCCTCTTTGCCCTATCTAGAGTGTGTCTAATCCTCCCATGCTCCCCCTCCCAACCCCACTATGAAATCAGCGTCCTTATATCAGAGAACACATTTGGCATTTTTTTTTGTGGGGGGGATTGGCTAACTTCACTTAGCATTATCTTCTCTAACTCTATCCATTTACCTGCAAATGCTGCGATTTTATTCTTTTATTGCTGAGTAATATTCATTGTGTATATACCACATTTTCTTTATCCAATTGTCTACTGAAGGGCATCCTAAGAACATACATGAAGACATGCATGGTGTGAATATACTTTGTATACAACCAGAGATATGAAAAATCATGCTTTATATGGGTAATATGAATTGTAATGCATTCTGCTGTCGTATATAACAAATTAGAATAAAAAACAAATTAAAAAAAATAGATTCACTGTTGGGCTGGGGTTGTGGCTCAGTGGTGGAGTGCTCGCCTAGCATGTGTGAGGCCCTGGGTTTGATCCTCAGCACCACATGCAAATAAATAAAGGTATTGTGTCCACCTACAACTAAAAATATATTAAAAAAAAAATCACTGTCTATGCCCAATTATCCTTTCCATTTCTTGGGTTGCATACTGAGAGACCAAGAACACATAACCCAATTCTTCCAGCACAAAAGTAGCCACAGATAGTATATAAATGTGTGGCTATGCTCCAGTAAACATTTACTTATGGGTACTGAATTTTGATTTCCACCATTTCCCTGCCCAACCATTTAAAAATACAGAAAACAGGTAGTTGGTTGGAGTTGGCCCCACTGGCTATATAGTTTGTTACTATGTGGTCCACAGGATGCCCCATGACATTCAATTTTGGGCCATAAATATTTCTGCCTATAGAAAAGTAGAAATGGCATAATAGTCCAGGATAAAGCAGTCTACAATAGCCACATGGACAGCTGCCCAGATTCTGCCTTTCAATGAGAAACACCCTTTGCTGTATGCAAGTGGTAATTTAGAATCCATATTAGCAGAGACAATCCTTATTTTTCAAGTCTCAAACTGGCCAGATCTACAATTTCCAGTCATAATCATCAGTTGCCTTGGACACTGCTACACACATTCCAAATATCATGGAAGAAAACCCAATCTTGAACCTCTAAGTTTATTCATTTGCCATTTTACCTGCAATCCAAATTTGTTTTATTTAATAATTTATACTTCATCTCATGACATATCTGGCTGTAACTGAACTTTACTTGTGGATTCCTTTTCAACTTTGTTACGATTACACAAACACACAAATGCCAAGTATAGTACTCATGGTTTTTAAGAATTACAAAAAAGGCTGGGGATGTGGCTCAAGCGGTAGCGCGCTCCCCTGGCATGCATGCGGCCCGGGTTCAATCCTCAGCACCACATACAAACAAAGATGTGTCCGCCGAAAACTAAAAAATAAATAAAAAATTAAAAAAAAAAAAGAAAAAAAGAATTACAAAAAGGGGAAAACCACCTGTAATTCCAGAGCATTATTTTGTGTACATCTTTATAAAAAATGCTTTTGAATTGCTGTGGTCACGATTGCACAATTTTAGTTTTATTCTCGTCACCTTATTTGTACTTGACTTACTATAGACTATTTATTATATTGGCTGAGGGATTTCCACTTCAGGTTCCACTACTCTTATGAGATGTAATCCATGCCACTTTTGATGATTTTCTGAAGAACTTCATCTACTATTCTGTGTAATTGTATGCTAATTAAAAATATCCACCTCACTGCTCCACAGGCAGGAAGTTCTTTCCCATGAAGGGCTAATGAATGGCACCCTACCTGTGGAGTGGGATGAGTGACAGGTTGGTAAGGAAGAAATATTCATTCCATCTTGTCTTTTGTGTGTTTAAATGCATATAATCCTTGGGGTAATAAAACATGACATGTTTCTGAACAGAGAAGCTTATTTATTTTCACAGAATGGTAATCAAGGAAATTTCGGATCCACAAAGTTCAGAATGCTTCAGAAAGTTGCTACCCATTCACTGGACCATATGAACATTTTCTTGTGCCTGTCACTGTCTATTCTTTGTATACACTTGAAACCGTTTTACATCAGAGCATTTATGTTACAAATTTAACAAATACTGGGTGATAAAATGGTAGGGAAGGATAGATTTTAATGAATTTGGATTAATTAACACAACAGCACATTTCAAGGGTACAAACTTAAAAGGGAAGCAAGAACACAGAAATTTGCCCCCTCCAAGCTCCTTAAGTCTTGTTTAGAAATAATGTGTAGAAAAATTTTATTTGCTGTTCATGGTTTGTATCCTGGACACAATTTCATGTTTGATACTGATTCAAAATTGTAGTTATCAATTCATGCTGGCCCACCCAAAACTAACATTACTGGTAAAAAACGAGTACTTGTGAATCTGTATGAACATCTGAACTACATTTTCACTCTCCATATAATCTTCATTTCAGCCACCTGATGCTGAAATCTAAAATACTCTGATGGCTTAAATGTGCACAAGAACCCCACAGATGATAAGCAGGATTGACTGTCTTTATTTGGTGGCGATAAAAATAGCTTCAGATTAGTTGTTAAATGTACAGTTAACAGTGACCCTTTAACACAGGCAAAATAAAGAGGGGAAAGGAAAACTGAACCAGGGCAAAGGCAGTGTGAGCCCAACCACTGCAAGCTCTGATGTACCCCCGTACTTCAACAGAGGCAAAAAGGCCAAAGTACTGATTGCTTTCCAAATAGCATGTTTTCTCTTTTGAGTCTATTGATGGTTACATTTCATTGTACCTTGTATAATATAGTCAGCCACTGTAAGAAAACCATCACATTTTGTCAGAAGATATATATTCATATAATACGTTCAGAATCACTGCTTGGTTCTTGTCTTCGTCTTTTCTTCCCTGACTGTTTAAGTGTTGGAGTCTCTACTGCTCCTTCTGCATCATAAACGGGCAGCTTGAAAACTATTTCATCATCTTCATCATCATCCATTCCCGCCACTTCAGATTTTCGTTTCTCTAAAAATGTTGGTGTACAAACTGGTGTGGGGCCCTGGCTATCTATAGACCCGTCAGGAGTGGCAGCAGTGCCTTTAGAAACCCGCTTCTTCTTCTTCTTTGGTATGCCTGAAGACTTTTTCTTCTTTGTAGGTTTATCTGAAGGATCTTTGGTCTTACTGGATGATAAAACCTTAAAATAAATTAAGACTTTAACAATTTGCATATTTCTTTCAGCTATTTTTTGATTATGCCTATTTCTTTCTCTACTATCTGGCATATAATATAAATACAATTTTACCTGGTTAATTGTAGATTTCTAAAGATTTTATTATTTGAAACGTGTTCCCCCTTGTTTTGCTAAAATTTCAAACAAAGAAGTTACAAATGCTACCCCTATAGCCCACAGGGCTAAGCTCAGGATTGTGGCAATGAAGCCACACTGCTTTTCTAAGTACAAAGAGGGTACAGAAAAAAATATTTATTTGCCCATTTTCAAGTTTTACAGTCCAACTCCCACACAGTTCAGTTGGCCAAAGGCCATGACGTGAATACTCCAGTACCGTTTAAGACTGTGATTGGGATTGTGTTTGGCAAACAATTAACAACCAGGAAGTGGGCTGGGGATGTGACTCAAGCGGTAGCGCTCTCGCCTGGCATGCGTGTGGCCCGGGTTCGATCCTCAGCACCACAAACAAACAAAGATGTTGTGTCCGCCAAAAACTAAAAAATAAATATTAAAAAATTCTCTCTTAAGATGTCATTTCTTTTTTTTTTTTTAAATATTTTTTTAGTTGTTGATGGACTTTATTGTCTTTATTTTTATGTGGTGCTGAGGATCGAACCCAGTGCCTCACGCATGCTAGGCAAGCACAGTACCACTGAGCCACAAGCCCAGTCCAAGATGTCATTTCTTAACAACTAATTAATTACTGTGACTGGAGAAAGTAAGATTCAGCAAGGCCGCCTCAGTATTCCTTTACAACCAAGTAGAACTAGATGAACACCTGTGCCAACTCATCTTCCTGTATGTTGGCTTGTGTATTTCAGCACATTTCTGTATGTTTAAATCTCAGAATTGATGCTTACTAAAGAACACGAGAAAATTTTAACTAGAATGGCGTAATATGGATGAACAATTTACAGTCTTGATATTTACTGAGAGCATACAGTAAACATTTCTGGTAAAGTCACATTTAAGTGGTAATCTAAGAGCATGATGGCTTTTGGTTAAATAGTGGTTCAACTTCAATAAATTAAAAACTAAGGAAAGTCATGCAAGTCAGGGGTGTCAGTACATGCCTACTTTTACCCAGAAGGCTGAGGTAGAAGGAAACACAATTCAAGGACAGCCTGAACAACTTAATCAAACCCTGTCTCCAAAATCCCCAGACCGAAACAAAACAAAAAGGGCTGGAGATATAGCTCAGTGGTGAAGTACCGCTGGGCTCAATCCTCAGTAGGTGTGGGGGGAGGGTAATGCAAATCAAGCAATTCCTTAAAAAAGGATTTTCTCTTCCATATAATGGAAGAAATAAGATCTGTTACCAATTGTTTACGAAGAATCCACAGGCTGTTTAAAAGACAAACTGTGATGGGTGGCACAAGTCTGCCATCCCAGTGACTTAAGAGGTAAGGCAAGAGGATTGCCAAGTTCAAGGCCAGCCTGGGTACCTTAGTGAGAACGAGTCTCAAAATGATAAAAAGGGGATGTGGCTAAGTGATAGAGCACCCCTGGGTTCAATCCCCATTAACACAAACACGTAAAAACTCAAAACCTAAAAACCCAATGTGTGATAAGTACTGGATTACTTTTTATAGTCACAGACACATTTTATAACTAGTGAGGTACAAAGTCTACCCCTAAGAGAAACCACTGAAATAATTTCATGAAGGAATGCTTACCAATGAAGGAAAATCATAATTAATTCCTTTTGCTGCTAATTTTTTCCTGAGCAATTTTTCTTTCTTTTTAAATCGCTCTTCCATTTGCAGTTTTTGAAAAAATGTCCGCTTCCGATTATACCGCTTCACGGCTGGATACGATGGCTGACGAAATGGAGTATTCCACTCTTTAAAAAGTTCTTTGTGTACTTTTTCTGGTGGCATAAAACGACCTATTTTTAAGAAGTAAAAGTTTTCAACCAAGTGGTAGGAAAAGCTTTCCATGTTAGTTTTAGAAATTCCCCTAGTGTTATTTCTCACATCATGATCATGATGTGTAATCTCACCCTAGAGCAATAGATAAACCAATTATACCCTAATGGAGTGAGTTAATGCTTTGGGGCAGAACAACCAATTGTTTGGGATCCTTTCTGCTATCTTCCACAGTCAGACTCAGTATAGCACAGGCAACATTATTCACTTCACCTACCTGAACTACTTCCTCCTGGCAAGTCATTCTGTTACTATGAGAAGGAACCTGTGATCTCCCCCAGGCTTCTGGAAGTCCCTCTGACAGCAATAGGAACTGGGATAGAGATATGCTACCTGGGCAGCCCTGTCAGCTCAAAAACCTGGAAAAGTGGGATGGCCAGAAACTGATCCCTGCCTCCCAAGTGTAGTGAAATCTGGACAGGGATGCTCTTGTATCTCTGGGAATGCAAAAATTACTGTCTCCATTTGCCAATTTTTGTGGAATGAACTTCTAATCTGGTGTTGTTGCTCCTGTACTCCCTATATGGCTTGTGTGAAAGAGTTGCAGTCATTGTCATTTAGACTGATTTTGAAATGTGATTCCTTACCTTTGCTGTTAGCCCATCATAAATCTCTTCAGAGTAAGAAAATTCCCCTACACAACCACAATATCATAGTATATAATGTCTGTCTTTATGTTTCTTTAAAAAAAAATGTTTGTATAGTTGTAGATGGACAAAATGGCTTTATTTTTTTAATGTGGTGCTGAGGACCGAACCCAGTGCCCCATGCATGCTAGGCAAGAGCCCTACCCTCCTTTATGTTTCTTTAGTCATCTCAAAACTGTCTTTTAGCCAGGCAGAGTGGCATATACTTGTATCCCAGCATCTTGGGAGGCTGAGACAGGAGGATTGTGGGTAGTTTTCTCACTACCCACTGAGGATAGATTAGCAGCTTCCCTCAAACATCCCTGAAGTAATTTGTTTAATTCCATCTCAGTGAAAATACTGTTCTCATGCTAGAAAAAATTTTTAAATTTCCACTATAACCTTCCTGGAAAACTTACATCCTTGTACCACTCCTTATAAAGCCATTTAATGTTCTAGTATTATGACTGTTTATTTCAAATAGATCAATGAAACAAAAGTGAGTATGTTTATATAGATGAGGAGAGATAAAGTCAATGTATCAGAATATTTAAAAAAGGGTGAATTCAAGAGAGCAGTATGTTCTTCATGCTGTTCTGTTTCTCTGTAGACCTGAATTCAAAATATAAAGCTAGGAAAACAACAAATAGAACAGAGCGAAGGGTAACAATGACTACACTGCAGTATGCAAATATTCACAAAATAATGTAACACGGAAGCTAGGAAAGAGTTTTTGTGAAAGATATTAAGCCAAGGCAAAAGATATGAACAGACAATTCACAAAAGATGAATTCCCATGGTCAGTAAGTATAACACTCAACTTTACTAAGAACAAGGCAAATACAACAATCATGGCCACTCTATACTCAACAACATGATGTAAAAGCAATATTTTTCAAACTCACAGTGGCCTTTTGGGGCAATAAAATCAATTTAGCTGAAGAGAACACCAATTCTTAAACAGGGGTTTAAGAATTATGTCACTGGACTTTTTCTTTAGTTATGTTTACATACATCTGTACATGTTCTGGCTTGTGCTGTAAAATGTACTCCTTTTTGCATGCTAGAGTCCCCCAAATACTATTCTAGAAAAACCTGCCTATGCCTACAACTATATAAAGAATGTCAAAGCAGCTTCATCATTCCCACCCCTTCACCTGGTTCCCTCCTGCTTCATCTCCAGGTTTCAATTTAAATAATACCTCCCAAAGGAAGGTTTTCTCACTACTCACTGAGGATAGATTAGCAGCTTCCCTCAAACATCCCTGAAGTAATTTGTTCAATTCCATCTCAGTGTATATACTGTTTTCATGCTAGAAAAAAATTTTAAATTTCCACCATAACCTTCCTGGAAAACTTACATCCTTGTACCACTCCTTACAAGAACCATCCCAGAGATGAAGTGGCATATCCAAAGCAGCTAAGCCATCTGTCTTTCACATCAGTCATGCACCAACAGAAGCATCTCCAGGGTAAGATAAGAGCACTTACACACCAAGAGTCTTTCACCAAAAAGGTAGTTATTCATTGTTTCAGCAACTATCTTGGCAACATCTTCAGACTTAAACTCCACAAAGGCATAGCCTCTGCTATTTCCAGTCTGCAATGGAAATCCACCACAAAAATAATTATACTCTAACAAGTCATCAACCCCTAAATTGCCTTAAATTTAAATAATACTCATTAGTACCTTATCAGCAATTTTGATACCTATAATTCCAACTTTAATTCATGTATTCCAGGGATTGTCTGGGGTGGGGGTGGGGGAATACAAAGTCATCCAAACAGTGGATTTTTAGGTACTCGATAAACACATGATTACTATGGCTAGAATATTTTCAATAGCAATGTCCCATTTATAAAGGAAATCTGGCAGGTTCCCACAGTTCTTTGCCAACTGGCAGTCTTACTAGTCATAAATTCCTAATACCAAGCATGTTATATGATGCTTTACCAATAGAAGAACTGTGGCTGGAGATATAACTCAATGGTAGATGGGCTGGGGATGTGGCTCAAGCGGTAGCACGCTCGCCTGGCATGCGTGCAGCCCGGGTTTGATCCTCAGCACCACATACAAACAAAGATGTTGTGTCCGCCGAGAACTAAAAAAAAATAAATATTAAAAAAATTCTCTCTCTCTCTCTCTTAAAAAACAAAAAAACAAAAACAAAAAAAACTCAATGGTAGAGAGATTGACTGGCAATGTGCAACACCGTGGGTTCGATCCTCAGTACTGCCGAAAGAAAAAAAAGTGTGAAAAACTGTAGAAACCTTAGGGCTTGCCTAGCATGGGTAAGGCACTGGGTTCAACCCTTAGCACCACATACAAAAATAAGCAAATAAAATACAGGCAAAAAACCCAAACCAAACCAAACCAAAACAGCATAATGCACCAGTTACATGAATAAAGCTCAAAACAGATTACTAAAGGAAACAAAAAACCAAAAAACAAAAACAAAAAACCCCAAACACACACCTTACAAAATGCTATAGTTTACAATTAAAAAAAAAAAAAAAAAAAAAAAACCAAGTAAATTAAAATCAACATTTATCATTAATAAACATTTAGTAAAGATTTAAAAACACATATAGCATTGAAAACCACTAATTTTATACAGACTAATTTCCTGAATGCTGGAAGGAGGCGAGGAAGATTGGAGAAGGGTATAAAATTTCAATTTCACCTATACTCCATTTTTTAAACAAGAAACATCTAAAGCAAATGTGGTATCAATTTGATATTTGATAAAGCTGTATGGTGGACACCTAATTTATTCTCTAGTCAACTTCAGGATATTTGAAATCTCCATATAAGAAACTATTATAAGTAGGTAAATGGAGAAAACAGAAGGCAGAGGGAAACACAAAAAAAATGTGATTCTGGTGAGATGGAAATTTAAGATTCCCTTTAAAACCATATGTAAACTGGGTGTGGTGGTGCATGCCTGTAATCCCAGGGGCTCAAGAGGCCGAAGCAGGATTCCAAGTTCAAACTCAGCAAGATCCTGTCTCAAAAACAAAATAATGGAAGACAAAACGAAACATATATAGCACATAGTGCTATATAAGGCAAGTTCTCTACCACTGAGTTATATTCCAGCATCAATTCATTTAATGTTGAGATGTTGCTTAGACAATATAAAATTTATAACCTGCTGTTTTAGGACAACTAGCAGAAAATGGGTATATATCCTAGATGTCTCAGCTACAACCAATAAATGTGTGGAGGAAATAAATGAAGTGGGCCACTCCTTTGTTCTTGAAATAAACCACATAAGTCTTTTTTTCTTAGAAGATTAAGTATGATAAAACAATAACATTTGTGGTATTTAATTCTAAGAACTTTAAATTCATTACCTCTTTGATCTTTGTTACAATATTTTTAGAAAATTGTGGGTTTTTAAAACTTTATTTTAGATCACAAAAAAACGAAGCAGGAAGAAGTTATATAATTTGTCCATGGTCAGACGAGCAGAGTTGCTAGTCACTAGTATAGCTAGGCCTCAAACTTAGGTAGTCCAACTACAGAATACTTATCCTTAACTACTTACTATATAAACTTTTGCTATTAAAGAGTTGGCTCTATGAGGCATACAAGATGAACCCGGTCTTCGAATTTAAGTTCATTTATCCCTGGGCCTAGGAGCCACAAGGTAATATGGCTCATTTACCAAGACTGTCAATTTAATTTGAGGATTTGGGACAATCACTTTGGCAAAATATTTAGAATAACACTGACTTTTCTCAAGGCTGTTTAAATCTCATCCCCTTTTCTGAAATCTGATAAGCAATAATATGTAAGTATGATCTGTAATCTGTTAAACAAAACTATCGATTCAATTTGGCTTAAGAAAACTTACCTTTTTACTTCTGGATAGTCTAAATCTTGTAATAGTGCCAAACTGGGAGAAATATGCTTTGATTTGGGTTTCATAAAGTGCTGGAGGCAGATGGCCCACAAAAATTACTCCAGGAGTAAGTTTTTCTTGCTTTTTTTGCTGAAGACAAAAAGACCAGATAAAAAAACATTTTAAAAACATGAACACTGCAACAAAACTTTCAAAACTCTAGTGCTCTGCTGAAGAACCTACCCTATATTTTTACTTGTCATAGCAATAATTTAAAGAATTAGTTGTTTGTTGTCTATATCCCCACAAGAACAATCGCCACTGTTTTCTCAGGCCTGAATTCCCAGCACCAGCATCAAGTACATGCTTTGGAGGTTAGGCTGAATGGATAGACAAGCAAGTAAATATCTGATTACATCACTTTAGATCTTCCACCCAAAGAATTCCATAGAGTGCGTCCTTCAACTTTCGACGCAAATCACTGTTTATTCCTATCTAATGGAACATTTTTCCAGAAGCTTGTTAACCTTCACATGTAGACTAACCTCTGAGTGTCTCTGTGATCACACCCTTATCTTCTGTAAGAAAAACTTAGTTTTTTCACAATATATATTGTGCTATAAACCAAGGAAAATATAAACTTGATGTCAAGGGCTCCAATCAGCAAAGGGAACTTGGTAAATAATATCTTAACTCTCAAACTACCGGGCATGTAATTTTGGGCGGTAAAGCAGAAGCCTGACATCCCCTAACATGGTATTAATCTGTGGGAACCCCTCGGCTGGTTCCCTTCTTCTCCTGCGTCACCCCATGCCTCCCTCTAGTCTCCACAGAACACCCTAAAACTTAGCGACCAAACCCCACAGTATTTCTCCATCAGAGTAAACCTCCTCGTCTCGCGCACCGTGGCCTCTAAACTCATAAGGTCGGTCCCCCATTCGGTCGGGAGCTCACTGTGGAAGGCCCTGGAGGTAGCAGAAGCCTAGGGAAGGAAGGTCGCGTCCGGGCCGCGAACCGCGCGATCCGGAAAGCTCCCGGCAAGACTCACCGCCTTCCCTCGCAGCCCGGACCGTGCGTCCGCTCACCTGGGTTACGCGATGGCGGACCTGCTGCACCTCCTTCTGAAACTGGACGTCTTCCTGCGGGTTCAGAGAAAGAATCGGCCCGGGTGGGACGACGAACGGAGTCCCCACCATGTTGAGACCCGCAGCAACACAAGCCACGCGGCGCGCTCCCGGAAATGCGAGCCCTCGACTCCTCGGAAGCGGAAGTAGAGGCGGAAGAGGGGCGTGGCAAGACCTGAGGGCGTGGCAAGACCTGAGGGCGTGGCACAAAGTATAGCACCCTTGGCGCTCCCTGCTGGCTGGGCACGTTTTCTTCTCCTCGTACCTTTCACCTGTCAACTTGGAACGTCCAGAACAGTCACGTTTCAAAACCGTTTTCTTTTTCTGCTTTTCATACTGGGGTTTGAACCCAGGGACGCTTTATCTCTGAGCTACATACACAGCCCTTTATATATATATATTTTTTATTTTGAACAGGGTCTCACTAAATTGCTCAGTCGGTTTAAAGGCGTGCACCATGGTGCCCGGTTTCAAAAAGAATTTTTAAAACATAACTACAAAACTATATCTGTGCCCTTCAGATCTTGTTAACTATTCTTCCATTAGTTTGCTCTTTCCTTTTTTCAGTCATGTGTTTTAGTTTTTTTTGAAACAGGGTTTCACTATACCTTCCAGGCTGGGCTCAAACTCCTGGGTTTAAGTGATGCTCCTGCCTGGCCTCCCGAGTTAACTGGTACTACAGACAGATAAGCGCCAATACTGCCCAGCTTAGAGGGTTTTGTTTTAAATCTCCTTTTTTGTTGTTTTGTAAACAAATTAATATTACCATTACAGTCAATTCAGCTCCGTAGAAGTGAACTTTTGAGTTTCAAATGGAAGGAGTTAAGAAAACAAGGAGCATACTAATTTGAGTTAAGGCCACTTCAAAAACAGCAGGTGCAAGAGATGAAACTCTTTGTCCTTGCTATACCAAAAGGAAAGTACCATTCTTATCATCAAGGACAAGAAGTTGAGGCAGAGGGAAATCTGTATAACCAACCTTTTTTAGATTAATCCTGATTCTCCCATCCATTTTACCCAATTAATTGTCCCAGCTCAATTATCTCTGCTTTTCTTATCGTCATTAATTTACTACTCATTATCTAAGCTGGCATATATTTATATCTCTGTGTCTTTGATTCTTCATGTCCTTATGAAGACTCCTGTACCACATAAAACTTGAATTAAATAAATTTATATTCTTTTTCCCTGTTGATTTTTCTTATATAGATTTAATTCTCTTACCCAGCTGAAAAAAAATCTCTTAAGAGAGCAGATGTAAAATTCTGCCTTCCCTACAAAATGTTCTTTATGGCAAGGTTACTCATATAAAATTCCAGATACTGTTCTGGAAAGAGCATCAACTAGAGGACTACCCTTATTCTGTCTAGAAATTCAAGGAAAGAAAACATATGACTCAGAAAATTAACTTCTAAATAAACCATACCTACAAAATATAATCTTAAGAATTACAATTTTGCTGAGCTTCTGTTTGAGCAATTATATACACATTTAACTTCAGCAGTGCAACTAAAAAGGAGAAAATTCAAAATTGCTCTACAAGAAAGACCAAAAAATGCTGTTTTTGGATCAACAGAAAAGTCTTCCTAACCAGCAATAAAAATTTACTGATTTCACTATGTAAAAATCAAACAAGATAGAAACAATTTATAATATTAACATTTCTATAGATGTAAATTTAAAAAACACTGTCCTAGAAATTATCATCTTATGGCATTTCCATTTGAGCTGTTGTATAATCACTTAAAGCAATAAAAACAAATGAGAAAAATTATTTTAGGACATAAAAAATGATTGCCATATTTCTGGATTACTTTAATGAATTTGTTAACAACTTCAAAAATACTATAATTAAGTCTGGTGTGGAGTTGTGCCCCTTGTAATCCCAACTCCTTGGGAGACTAAAGAAGGAAAATTTCAAGTTCAAGGTCAAGCCTGCATTTAAGGAGTCTCTATCTCAAAACAAAACAAAACAGCTAGGGATCTAACTCATTAATAGAGGGCTGCCTAAAACATATGAGGCCCTGGGTCCATCCACAGTACCACAAACAAAACAAACAAACAAACAAAACCCTATAATTACACGATCTACAGATGAAATGGAAGCAATGAACTGTGAGATTCATTTATGTTCTACAGTTGTAAAACATCTTACAAATTGTAATTTTGTCACACATCTATGTGAGCCATTGTGTTATCACGTTAACAGCACCAAAAGGAAGGAGAAAAATCATTTTAATACAGAAGAAATTATCTTCCTGAGGTTCTAGAGCTTCAGAAATGGTTCCATTACAAGCTAGAATTAACCTGGAAGGTGAGCTGCATCTGTCACCTGGTTGTGTGGACAGAGGCTGGAACTTCTTGCCACTGGAGGGGGCAATGGACCAGTGAAGACTCTCAGTGATTATTCCTGGGGAGGTTCTGCCTCACTTTCTAGAAGTGGGGGAAGGTTTTCAAGAACTGTCTCCTGGAATATCTTGGTAATACCTGACCTCTGACAGAATGCTGTGGCATTCTTAGGCATGTGGCACTCATTTGTGTGGGGAGGGGTTAATAAAGAGGTCTCCTGTGTTGTGTAGTGTGGAAAAGACTGCTCTGTCTTGCTTTTGTGGAGATCCTGCTGTGATCCTAACCTTGGGTTGGTGGCATCTGGTCCAAATGGGGCACTGTTACCTGGATCCTGGGGTCATCACAGCCTGTACATCCTTCTTCAGGGACTTGATCATCCAGGAGATTCTCTGAGCAACATCTGAGATATGATGATACTCCTCTCCTGCTCCCACCCTGGCCCCATACTGGGGTTTGGGCCCAGAGGCATTTATCACTAAGCCCTCTTAATTATTCAGTTATTTTGAGATAGCATCTTGCTAAATTGTTTAGGCTGACTTTAAACTTGTAATCTTCCTGCTTCAGCCCCTAAGTTGCTGGAATTACAGATATGAGTTAACTTGAGGATACTTTTTGAAATATTTGTATTCTTCCTCAATATTTTTTGGTCTGACATAGCATTTTCTTTTCTTATCAAGGTCTCTTTCAGCCAATGCATTCCATCAACATGATGTCATAAGCTTTTCTCTCATGGGACATAAGCTAGCTTTGATAATAGTGGTGCACCCCAATTTTTCTTGAGAAATTTTGTCTTGTCTTTTGTCTGGATCTTTACATACATGGCTCATCTTTTCATCTGCTCTGCAAAGATTCTTTTCTTTCCATGGGAAGTTTTCTCTAAATGGATATTTGGTGAAATTTTCTTCTTCTAGATGAGGTTTGGGAAGATCCTGCTGGAGTTCTCTCTTCCTGTCACTTTTCTGATGGAAGCAGGGATCTCTAAGTTTGGAGACTTAACCACGATCTTCAAGTACATTCTATTCCCTAAACATGTTATGAACCTTGCCACGGCATCCAAACACTTCCTGAGTACTAGTCACTGATGGTAGTGCTGGCATAGAAAGAAGAGACTGCAATTCATCAAATCTTCCAGGTGCTGCTTTCCTGAGAAGGATGGGTGCTCAGTTAGCAAAGCTGCCTATTAAGTATAGGGAGCCCAGGAGATGGCAGATTAACTCCTGGGAAGTCAATAATTCTTCCTAAATTGCCACCTTGCATGTTCAATCACTTTGAATGGAGGGCTACGGTTCGGTCAGTTCCCTTTGATTTCATCATTGCCCTGCTTAAATGCCTATGGCTGCCCTGCCTAGAACAGAACTTGGTTTTCAGAATTCTTGACATGTGTCAATTTCTGTCATACAAATTCTCCACGGAGAATTCTGCTTCTGGAAAGGTGGAGTAGATAAACTTTCCTTTATTCCTTCCTTTAAGTGCAACTAAAATCCCTGGGCATTATATATAAACTAAACATAATGAGACCCTGAAAAGTAGAGAAGAAGGCAGAAAGCTAGGGGCCTCAGGGCCTACGAAATGACACAGTGGCAAGTTCCACTGTTTATTTATTTACTTTTTTTCTTATATATCTCAGACTTGGTGCTGAAGAAGCCGGTCACCAAGAAATGCCAAAAATCTGTTCTCTTTGGCTGAAGGATCAAGAAGGGGGTAGCTATAAAGAAATAAAGCTAATTTAAAAGTTAGTTACTTTTATAGTGCTGGGCAAGTGCTCTATCATTGTGTTACATCTCCAGCCATGTATTTTACCTTCTGCTCTTTCTCTGTTTTTTTTTTTTTTGGTGGTGGGGGTGGGTGGGTGGGTGAGTTGGTGCTGGGGATCTAACCCAGGACTCCAATGCATGTCAGGCAAGGACTCATCACTAAGCTACATCCCCTGCCTGACAGAAAACTTTTATGATACTGCCTCTATTCTAGCCAAACACCACAGAAAAAAACTGTGATTTTTTTTTCTGAAAACAAACAAACAAACAAACAACAAAAACAACGCTTTTTTTTTTTCAGATAAAGCTGGGATGCTCTCCATCCCCCCAACCATGTGCAGACAAAGTCTGAGTGGGGAGCCTAGACTTCTTCCTTCAAGAGGCTCGATGATGTGCTCTAACACTCCTGTCATCATGGTGTCAGAGAAGACCCTGAAGGAAGTTGGGACTTTCATCCCATCAGTTGATGATGTCACTTACTAGTAACAGTGTCAGTTGAGATCATGTGTGAGACTGGACATCCATCCCTACACAGTTATAATGAGGAGACCCTGCCCTGGGTGCCAATGGAGGCCAATGGGAGGGGAGATTGGTCTTATTCCCCCAACTGGCAGCAAAAAGCAGTGTTCTCCATTCCTTGCTGGAGCAGAGTCAGAAAAAGCCCTTTAAAACAGATTTAAATAAGATCCAGAGTCTTATAGCATGATACAAAAATGTTCAGGTTTCGACTGGGGTGTAGCTCAGTGATATGGCACTTGCTTAGTATGTGCAAGGCCCTGCGTTCCATCCCCAGCACCCCAACAATGGTGAAAAAAGTTCAGATTTCAGTAGAAAGCCTCTTGCCATACCAAGAACCAGGAAGAGCTCAAATTGAACGAGAAAAGATAATGAATAGATTCTGCTAGTCTGAACACTTGTGTTCACTGCCTCAAATTAGTATGTTAAAAGCCATAATCCCGAAGATGGTGGTATGAGGAGGGACCTTTGTGATGTGATAAGATCACAAGATCAGAGCTCTCAGGAATCTGATGAGTGACTTTTAAAAGAGGCCCAAAAGCTCTCTACCTCCTTCCACTTATAAGGACACAGTAAAAAGATGGTCATTCGTGAACCAGGCAACCGCCCTCAGCAGACACTGAATCTGCTGGTCCCTGAATCTTAGACTTTCCAGCCTCCAGAAGTGTCAGAAGTAAATTTTCATTGTTATAAAACACTGTTTTTTTGTACTAGATATTGAACTCAGGGGTGTTCTACCACTAAGTATACTTCAAGCACTTTTTATTTTTTGAGATTGGGTCTCACCAAAGTACTGAAGTGGCCTCAAATTGTGATACTCCTATCTCAGATTCTGAGTAACTGGGATCACAGGCATGTGCCATAGCCCTAGTCAAGCCATTCAGTATTTGATATTTTATTATAAAAGCCCAAAAGGATTAATATGATTATAATACCAAGGTGACATAGATGTTAGAATTATATGACAAAGATTTTAAAGCAACCATGATACAAATTCTTCAATGAGCAAATATGAACATACTTGAAATGAATGAAAAAAGTCTCAACAAAGAAACAGAAAGTTTAGGCAATAATATAAAAGATAGAGTAAAATGAAAGATAGGTGTGGTGGTATGCATACTTGTAATCCTAGCTACTTATAGGCTGAAGCAGGAGGATGGCAAGTTTGAGGCCAGCCTTGGCAATTTAGCAAGACACTGTCTCAAAGTAAAAAAATGAAAAGGGCCTGGGAATATAGCTCAGTGGCAGAGTGCCTCTTGTTCAAGCCCCAGTTTTGGAAAAAAAAAAGAAAGAAATAAAATGGAAATTTTAGAACTAAAAAATAATTCCAGCTACTCAGGAAGCTGAGGCAGGAGGACCACAAGTAAGAGGCCACCCTGGGCAATAAATTTAGTGAAATCCTATCTCAAACACACACACACACACACACACACACACGTGCGTAACTATAACTCATTTAATATTAAATAATTTGAGTAGTACTATAAATGGAATTTGCAATAAAAGTTCCCCAAAAGAAATCTCCAATCCCAGTTTTCAATGGAGAAATTTACCAAATGTTTAAAGAAGAATTAATACTAATTCTGTATGATCTTTTTCAGAATATGAAGTAAGAAGAAACACTGTTTAGTTCATTTTATGAAGCTAGTGTTGAGGAGGAAAAACTTTTCCTCTCTTTTGTTCAATGTATAAGGACTAGCAAATTAAACTGATAAAAGATTAACAGAACAGAAAATCAGCAAGGGCACAGAAGAACTCAACACCACCATCAACTTATAGTTCCGAATAAGCTTCTTTATAGAAAACTCCCCCAATCCTAGCATGCATGAGGCCCTGGGTTCAATCCCCACTACTGCAAGTAAACAAACAAAAAACAAATCATCAACAACAAACTCCTCCCAAAGACTTATTTTTATATACGCTGATGCTAACAAAAGGAGGAGCTAGCTTACTAACTGGTTGAAGTTAGAGGCTTAGTAGATATAAGTAGGGAAAAAGGAATGCGGGGGAAGTTTCTATAAGAACAAGAAGTAGGTGTTTTTTTTTTTTTAATTAAGGTTTTGGGAGAAGATAAGAATTTGTGATAACCACTTAAGCGTGTGGTTTTTCAGACTTCTTTACACCATGAAATTCCCCTGAAGAAGGAAATTATGGCAGCTTCAATTCCATGAGGTTGCTTCTTTTAGGTGGATAAAGGAAGCTCCCAGAAGGATTTTTTTTTTACATCTTTTGAATTTGCAATGTCTGCAGCTTAAAATAATCTTCAAACCAATTCTATGGCTCAAAGTGGGCTCCCTACACTAGCATTACCTGATGTCCAAACCAGACAAGAAAAGTATGAAAAATACACTTACACCATTCTTAAAATGGAACAAAGAACTAAACATAAGACCAACCACTATAAAACATTTAGAAGAAAACGGGAAAAGCTTCATGACATTGTAATGATTTCTTATATATGACATCAAAAGCACAAGCAACAAAGGGAAAAGTCAGTCAACTGGACTTCATCAAAATTATGAAGCTTTGTGCATGAAGGGACACTATCAACAGGAAGAAAAGGCAAATGCTAGAATGGGAGAGAATGTCCATCATACATCTGATAAGGGACTAATATCTACAATATGCAAACTATTCCTAAAACTCAGCAAAAACAAACAACTCAATTAAAAAACAGACAAAGGACCAGATGCTTTAGCTTTAGCACGCATCTGTAGTCTCTTGTTACTCCCTACTGAAGTAGGAGGATCATGACTCTGAGGCCAGCCTCAGCAACATAGAGAGGCAAAGCTTGAATGGACTACATATTTATCTAAGGAAGATAAACAGCTGACTAATAACAAACACATGAAAATGCTCAATATCCTAATCATTAGGAAAATGCAAATCAAAAATACCACTTCATATCCATTAAGATGGCTGATATGAGCATGTGTACACATACAATCACACAGAAAATAACAAGTGTTGAAGTATGTGAAGAAATTGGAACCCTTGTACATCGCAGGTGGAAATGTAAAATGGTGCAGCTGCTGTGGAAAACATTTTGGTGATTCTTTACAAAATTAAACACAGAATTACCTTATGATCCAGCGATTTTACTTCTGGATATATACCCATGAGAACTGAAAGCAAGGACTTCACAGATATTTGTACACTCATTTTTAAAGCAGCATTATTCACAATCAAAAAGTGGAAGCAACTTGAATGTCCACGGATGGATGGATCATAAACAAAATGTGTATTATCCAGATTTACAAAGGAATTTCCTTCTGACATGGAAAGACATGGATGAACCCTGAAGGCATTATTTTAAGAGAAATAAATCAGGCAAAAAAGGACACATATTTCAAGACCACGCTCATTTTAAGTATCTAGAATAGTCAGATTCAGAGATAGAAAGTAGTGTTTGGCATATATCATTTAGAAATCTCATCAACTTTTATTTCTTTTACTTTTTTTTCTTTTGAGATGGGGTCTTGTTATGTGGTCCAGGCTGGTCTCCAACCCCTGGACTCAAGTGATCCCTCTGCCTCAGCCTCCCCAGTAGTTGGGACTATAGGCCTATAACCACCTTCGTCCTAGTTTATAGAGAGAAGGATTAATTCGGACTTGACCAAAAAAAAAAAAAAAAAGAAAAGAAAAGAAAAGAAAAAGACAGACTCTCAGGGGATGCTTAAAAAAAAAAAAAACCTTCTTAGGAGTCTGATGCTCCCATGCTTTATGTACCTAATAAATTTTGTATGAATTTTTTTTCCGTTTTTTAAAAATTTTAACTAATTTAGAATTTCAGGGGAGAAATGATTTGGCAGATTCTTGTTCCTGCTAGAAATTTGAAAGTCCTACTTTTTGAGTTGGCATGGAGAGGCACTCTGAATTTGTAATGAAAAATGTAATTTGGATTTCTATGAAGTCAGTTAATACACAAAGAATATGTTTGGCAGTATTAAGTCTTAATAATATTTCCTACTGCTATCTTCATCGTGTGTGCGAGAGGGAGGAAACTATTGTAAGACTCTACTCTGGAGAATCTTGTACTACAAATGGCGCATGTCTGAGGTACTCAGGCAAAACATTTTTAAAAATCCTGTCTCTGGGGAAACTGTGAAAATTGAGACTGTCAATTTATGTAATAGGAGTGTGGGGATTAAATCAGATAAAGTTTGTTTTTGTCTTGGGGATTGAACACCCTGGCGCTATGTGAGCTACTCCAGCCCCTATTTTTTTATTTTGAGATAGGGTCTCACTAAGTTGTTTAGGGTCTCTTAAGATCAAGCATGTGGTTCCCAGCTTCAACACTTAGGTACACTAGACTTCAGAGTCCATTAATCTGTAACCACAGTAACGTCATTTGTCAGGTAACTTCCCACGGCTATTAAGAGAATTAAACATGATCTTTCACATAACGACTTTAGAATAATGTTTGGTACGAAGCAAATAACCCATTATCATTTCTTTGATGAGAATTTTTCTAATTCATTTGGAGAATGCATCATACACACCCACACACCACACATTTATTTGTAGGGTAGATGCGCAGAAAAACTCTCAAGGGACAAACGACTCGATTGACAGTACTAGCCTCAGCAAAGGGGATCAGCGGAAGGAGGTGTTAGCCGAAAGAGAAACTTTCATCGCACACACTTAAAAAAAAGGCCATTTAATTTAAAAACAGGTAATTGAATCAAAGATCTCAGAATAAAAATGATGTACCGAGGAAATTTTCCTTCCCATTCCATCCCCTACTCACTCCGTCCTTTTACTTTTCCGTGTATTTTTTTTCAACGACGAACGCATTAACGCCCTAGCTTCACACGAAGACGGCGCTTTCTCTACCTCCGTCTGCAGGTGGACGCCTTCCCTTTGGCTGTGACGGATTCCACCCCCTCCCCGCCCCGCCCCGTCCGCTGTTGTAAATAAAACACACACACATGCACTAGCGGACAGCCCGGCGAGCCGGCACCACCTCCAAGCTGCCCCCGCCTCCCGCAGGCTCACGTGCCCCCTAAGCCCCCTTCGCGGGCTGTTTCCGGCGATGCCTGTCTGAAGCGCCAGTCTGAAGCCCTGCCTATTCTCTCTTTCCCGGTCTTTGGAAGCACCCCTTAGCGCCGGGCACGTCGGGCGGCGCCTCAGGCAGCGCGGTGGACAGGCCGGCCTCCGGCGCGCCGCGGGCTTCGGAAGACCCCAGCGACGGCCGTGGCGTAGAGCCGGGTGGACGCGGCGGTAGCGGCGGGCGTAGCGGCGGGCGTTGCGACTGACTGCGCGGGTTGTCTGCAGGACTCGCTTCCCTGGCCGCCCTCGCCGTGCTGGCTGATTGTTGTGCGGCCGGCGCCATGTCTGTGAGCGAGATCTTCGTGGAGCTGCAGGGCTTTTTGGCTGCTGAGCAGGACATCCGAGAGGCGAGCCCCTCCCTCCTATCCCCTTTTCCTTTCCTTGCCTAGCTGGGCCACACAGCCCGGCCCTCCTGCGTCGCTCAGTCTCGGGCGGTGGGGACACCTCCGAGGGTGGGTTGCTTCCCCTTTAGTGTCAGGTTAGGGCACCTCCCTACCCCGGCCCTGGATTCCACTGCTCCCCTGATTCCGTGTTCCGGGTCTCAGCATCTCAGCATCACCTGCTTCATATGAGTGTCAGTTTTCCTCTTTTTCAGCATTTGTTTATGTCGAAGGCTTGGTTAGTGTCCGGGTCTCTGTCAACACGTTTTCTCTGTTGTTGGTGTCTTAAAAGCACATGTGACCCCACCTTTTAAAATATCTCCTATGACTTCTCTTCCCACGTAGAATAAAAATGCGGACTCGACTCTAATCTACAAGGTCTCTCTCCAATCTCATTTTACAGTTTCTCTTTCTCTATTATGTTCAAGTAATCTCCTTTTTGTTCCTCTAGCGATCGAAATAGTTTCATGCCTCAGGACTCTTGCATTTACTGTTTGCTTTTCTTGGAATTTGCTTCTTTCATCATATTCATCTTTTGACCTCGCAGTCTAATTGGTTCTCCCTTATGTTTTCTAGTAGCACGTTAACTTTTTAAAAATTTGTGTGATAGGGCTGGGGTTGTGGCTCAGCGGTAGAGCACTCGCCTAGCATGTGCGAGGCCCTGGGTTCTATCCTCAGCACCACATAAAAAAATAAATAAAATAGTGATTGTGTCCGACTACAACTAAAAAAATAAATAATAAAAAAAATGTGTGATAATTGTTATTTTAAATGTCGTTTTTCCTTTTGTTTGCTAAACTGCCAGAGGGTAGGGACCGTCTGCTTGGTTTCCCAGTATTTATACAGTTTCTAGTACATAAATATACTCAGATATTTGTAAAATATATGAAATAAAAATATCCAACCGGCCTATTGCATTCAATTCTTCATTGCATTCACATCTTTTAATTTTTATAGTGTCTTATGTGAAGAATGATGGATGGCTATTATATATATATTTTTTTCTTTTGGTGCTGGAGATTTAAACCCAGGGCTACTTTACCAATGAGTCACATCCCCAGTCCTTTTTATTTTAAGACAGGGTTTGCTAAGTTGCTTAGGGCCTCAGTAGGCTGGCTTTGAACTTAAGATCCTCCTGCCTTAACCTCCTAAGCCACTGGGTTTACAGGTGTGGGATGCCCAGGGTCTATTATTTTTTGAAGGCCACCTGAGGAATCTGACTTTTTAGTAATCTCCTGAACGTCTCACAGGGGAAATAAATGGAAAAGTCAGTATTCAAACCTGATTACTTACTAATTAGACAAATAAAAAAAATTTATTTTCAAAACAAAACAAAACAAAAAATAAACAAACCTGATTATTTTTTATACAGGTTCTATCTTTGTGAAGGATTTTGTATTTTAAATGCATATGACAGTGTGATAGATCAAATATAGTGTGTTTGGTATGAGTCTGTGATAGTGATTGTGCTGAGTTTATCTGATTTTGATTTTTAATTCTCTCTAGGAAATTCGTAAAGTTGTACAGAGTTTAGAACAAACAGCTCGAGAGATTTTAACTCTTCTGCAAGGGGTCCATCAGGGTGCTGGGTTTCAGGACAGTAAGTTTGTTTTGATTTTGAATATATGTGTCAAAATTATTATTAAAATTTTTAAATTTTAATTAGTTATACATGACAGTAGATTGCCTTTTGACACATCATACATAAATGGAGTATAACTTGTCATTCTTCTGGTTGTAAATGATATATGTATCAAAATTTTTGATTTCTTATTTAGTTAATTTCCATGCAGAATGCATACTTGGTCTGTCTTATTTTATTGTGAAAAATGTCCATTGTGCCTTCTGGTGAATAGAAATTGGAGCAGGTGTTTCGATTAGACTGTAGGTTTGTAATATTTTCTTGGTACCAGAGATTGAACTCAGAGGCACTTGACCACTGAGCCACATCCCCAGCCCTATTTTGTATTTTATTTAGAGATGGGGTCTCACTTAGTTGCTTAGTGCCTCAATTTTGATGAGGCTGGCTTTGAACTCACGATACTCCTGTCTCAGCCTCTGGAGGTGCTGGGATTGCAAGCATTGCAACTGTGCCTGGTCCAATGTGTTTCCTAATATATTCCCTTCACACAAGTTTTTGTTTATTTTTTAATTTGGTTAATTAGTAGGGGAACTAGTTATGAGTTTTAGAGCCAGATGGAAAAGCAGAGATATGTTTGTGAAAGTTTTAAAGAAGTTTAACTTTCAGGTAGACTGCATAGATTATTAAGCAAGAACTGTATTTGAAATTTGGTAAGTTTTTCACATTTGATTATCTTTTGTGATTAGTTCCAAAGAGGTGTTTGAAAGCTCGAGAACATTTTGGCACAGTAAAAACACATCTAACGTCTCTGAAGACCAAGTTCCCTGCTGAACAGTATTACAGGTTTGTTAAAAAAAAAAAAAAAAAAAAAAAAATCTTTGTTTTGTAATGTTAGGTAAAAAATACAGGCCAAAAATTATAGGTACTGAATGATTGCTTATGACCACTTAAAAATCTCTGTATATAGAGGAAACAACAAAAAGAATCATACTGATAGTAGTGGCGACTAGATTGATTTTCCTTTCTTCATTTTTGAAAAATTTCTTAAGAAATATGTCTTATTTTTCAGTGGAAAAGTAATTAGGAAAATATCTATTGTATGAAGGTCAAATTGAGAATATATTTTTGCTATATTCATGTTTCTTACAATCAGGTGAACTGTATTTATGCTATGAGTTCAGGTTGAATTAGATATATGAAGTTAAATTTTATCTCAAAACTTGAATTTTGCTGCCAAGGAACTTTTTTTTCTTTTGGGACTGGAATTGAACTTAGGGATGCTCCTCTACCATTGAGCTATACTCATGCCCACAGTCCTTTTTTTTTTTTTTTTAAAGAGAGAGAGAATTTTTAAATATTTATTTTTTAGTTATTGGCGGACACAACATCTTTGTTTGTATGTGGTGCTGAGGATCGAACCCGGGACGCACGCATGCCAGGCGAGCGCGCTACCGCTTGAGCCACATCCCCAGCCCTTTTTTAAAATTTTAATACAGAGTCTTGCTGAGTTGGTTAGGGCTCCTCTAAGTTGCTGAAGCTGACTTTGAACTTATGATCCTCTTGCTTTAGCATCTTGAGTTGTGGGACTACAGGCATGCACCACTGTGCTTGGCCCAGAGGGCATATTTAGTTAATATTTTATGCTATATCTTATTGAATCTACAACACCTTTATTCTTATATCTACTGTTATTTTATATACCAATAGGGAAGAAAAAGGTTGCTAGTCATGATTGTGAAATGTAGGTCATAAAATATATATCTAGGTATTGTAGATGTTAAACTGGGAAAAATTGCATCTGAGTGTTGATGAGATAAATAAGAGTCAAAAATTTCTACATTCTTCTTTTTTTAACTAAAAAAGTTATTTTTTTGAAACATGTAATTAATAAACGGTTGGGATGTATATGAGGGGTAAATAATGTAACTGCACAAAAAAATTCTTTATGGCAGGGCTTGGCAAACCATTAGTGGCCTACTGCCTCAAAGATAAGGATGGCTTTTATGTTTTAAAGGGTTGTTAAAAGAAAAACTCAAGAGTGTGTGACAGAAAGTGAAAGTGGCTCACAAGGTGTAAAATGTTCACTACCTGGCCCTTTACAGAAAAAGTTTGCTGACCCTTGCTGTAAGGTAATGACTGAAACTCACAGAGGTAGGACAGTAGGACTAGCAGGGTCCTTATATAAACCAATTACTCTTGAGGTCACACATAGGTTGCCTTTTGGCTGGGTTTGCCCTCAGAAAATTTTGTTTGACCTGCATTGTGTTGAGAAACTTTTTTTTTTTTTGCTTTTGGAGAACATTTTTAATTATAAATTCAGTTTTAAAAAGAGAAACATTTTTTGAATTTGTTGCAACATTTGAAAATCAGCAGGCTTGGAATTCATATTCAGAGGAATACGTAAAATTGCTATTTCTCTGTCAGGCTTTAGCTTAGTATCCGAGGTTTTTTTTCTGGGTGGGAAGGGGGGTTTCTATGTTTCCCAGTTTGGTTTTGATTATCCTGACTCAAATGATTTTTCTGCTTCTGTTTCCTGAGTGTTGGGATTACAAGTGTGCCATTGTGCCCAGCAGTAGCCTGAGTTTTTAAGTTCTCTATTTAGTGATTGGAAATGATAATTTTGTGAATTAGGATTTTCTTGATGCCCTATACTCAAAGTGTAGGAATAAATTAGATGGTGGCTGATATACAATTGCAGTTTTCATCGGTCTTCAGTTGCAATTTTTAATACTTTATATTCTGTGGTGCTGGGGATCAAACCCAGGTCTTTGTACACGCTAGGCAGCACTTTACCACTTAGCTACT